ATGTGCTATGCGTGATAAGAAACATGGTAGCAGGGTTTAAGGTCAGTTATTTGCTAAAGAATGTTGTTAATGGAACCTAGAATATACAGTGTGTTTAAAAAGTCCCGGAACCGCTTAATATTTTTGAACCAAAATAGATACGGTGGTACAGTTTTGTATCTATATATTTATCATAACATACCTTTTTAATCAATTATCAATTTTCCTCTCCTCCAGGGGGACGGACCACAAGGAGTAAGAAGAAAATTCTTAAGTAAGCATAGATTGATATGCACATCATATTAAAGGTATTTACTAGTAAAATACAATGCCACAAATTTGAATTAAAACGGACAACCAAGTCAAAAATTACAGCTATTCAAAGATCCTTTGAATTTCATTGCTATTATAAGGTAGAATAGCAGAGAGGCTAAGAGAGGCGTCTGGTAGAAGTCGGAAGAAAATCATATTAATGGTATTGATTAGTAGAATACAATGCCATAAATTTGAGTTTAAAATAAAAACTGAGTAAAATGGCAGCCTTTCATAGATTCAAAATATCAGATTCAAGGTATCTTTGAACGGCTGTCATTTTTCACTCGGTTGCCCGTTTGAATTCAAATTTACGGCATTGTATTTTACTAGTAAAGACCTTTAATTTGATGCGTATCATCGTATGCTTACGTTGACGACTTGCTTCTTACTCTTTGTGGGCCAGTAGGAGAGGAAAACTGACAATTCTTAAAAAGGTAGATTGTTATGACAACTATATAGATACAAAACTTAACCATAGTATCTATGTTAGTAAAATAAATATTAAGCCGTTCCGGGACTTTTTTAACACATTGTATGTGAAACTTTGTAGTGTGTATACATCTGCCTTAACTAATGCGTAACTATCCACTGCTTTATTATTCGTATTAAATTTCAGTAGTGAATCGATTCATTTGGAGCGTGACAGAGCATACAGTAGCATGGTGAAATTTTATACCTTGCGATAAATTTAAATTCCTAAACACATTTTATAGGCTACTCTACTTTCCTGCAAACGAGGAAACGAATGCTCTTTACTGAAATATGGAGCTATACTTGTGCTTCACAATGGGTAGCGAATGAGTTTTTGTTCTCTAGATCTGCTGTATAAAATAGTTATACATATTTTAGTCATTTTAGAAAAAAAAATAGTTTTTCCACTTATTAAGGTTGTTTTCTTGTTATTTATATAAGGAGTTAAAATTTCCTAGGCAACCATTGCAATGTATAAGTGGTGTTTCTGTGTGATTCAACTTTATGATTTAATTTGAAAAGACACAATTATTTAAAAGTTGAGGTCTACTCACTTTTATAAAGTTATAAAAACTTATATATTTGGTGGCAATAGATACAAAAGAATTTAACCATGTACCTTATTGCTACATAACACCAATGAATTAATATTGATGATTAATGAAAATGATGTTTTACCTTAATTGATAATTTTTTTGTCGATCATCTTTCCTTTTAGCTTACTATACTTCACGATTTTAATGAAAACTGAGAGAAATATTCTACAAAGCTTTCACTATCTTTCTTTAACCAAACATAATTAATCTTTTACTAATACCACACAAGTTTCCACAATGATTAGTGTGTGTAATTTTTCTGAAAAGTGTCGGTTTGAAGGAATTTTCTAAGGGCCCCATAGGCTGAGATCAAAAGGGCTACTCTTTACACGCATACGAAGTACAAATGATTTAATTAATAAAATGGAACAGCTGGTCGATGCAATTGACAGGTGTTTGTATATTTAGTTGAACGATTTATTTACGGGGCTTCATTTTGATGTGCTGTATGCATATATTTGTATTTGGTAAAATACCTTAAAAATGACACAAATTTGACAGTATCACTTTAATAATATTATGAATTGGTTTTATTTGTTATAAATTTGTTTTGTTATAATGCATTGTAATAAAACCAGTGCCTATTGCAGAAACAAAGCACTTAGATTGTTTTTTTAAGAATAAAATTAGAAAACTAACGTCAAATTCTTTTCCAGAGTGTAATTATTACGCACAATTAGTTTGTTTAAACGCAAAGTTTTGTCCTTCGGACGCTAACAGAAGGGAGCAGAAAGGAGGCTGGGAGACCCCTATAGGGAAATATCCTCATTTGGTGTGTATTATTAAATATTATCTATTATCACTAAATAGTTGGTTCAGATACATGGAGAGTTGTTTTTAAATTTATGATTCACGATAAACATTCTTTCAATGATATATAATTTAAAAAAGGTTGAAATAAAAAAACTTTTATATGACAAAATATCAAAAGAAACATTTTTACCAATAGACCTAAACAAATTACCTAAACCTATGAATAATTAAATTTTAAAGTAACTATATTATCACTTATTTCACCAACAAAATGTGTTTACAGGCCGTTGTTGGTTGGTACAATGAAAAATCCAAGAAGCAGGACTGGTTCTGTCTAGGTTCAATTGTCAGTGAAAGGTTTATATTGTCAGCTGCGACGTGTCGCGAGGGAAAAGATCAGTAAGCCAGTTATTTACAAGTTGTATTGAAATGTTATCATCTCTTTGCTAGTTATGCTAGAATTTAAATTAGCAGCAGGTTCTACGTTTCAGTTACTTTATACACCAGTATATATCAGATATGCATACTTACCGAATGGCTGGGCAGCTGAGTGGGTTAAATGCTCACCTAACAATCAAAAGGTCGCCGGTTTGATCCTGAGAGAAATCAGTAGCTTTTTGATGGTTCGAAACTGGTCCCAGATCCTGGCCGATGAAATAGAAGATCTTAGTCAGAATCAAATCTACACAGATCCTCCCACAACATTCTACACTCATCCTTCAATCATATTTAGGTGAAAAAACACATTTAGACGACTTTCCCATCTCATAACGATAATAATGGCATAGCTTCATAAAATGTGAAGCGAGGCATACAAATATATAAATAAAAACGGTATACACACTTATTTTCGTGTTTAACAAACATCAATTGAATTCCACACATTCTGTTGTTCCGAACTAAATTGTTGGTTTCATATATATCTAATATAAAACAGTGTATAAGGCTGCAGTCACTGGGGCTTAAGTCTGATTACATATTCATCAGAGAGGGTGTTACTTAAGGGTCTTATTATTGGGTCCTTGCTCTTATTGATGTATGTAAATGACTTGTCTATGGCCTTAGATTCCAAATTAGTAATATTTTCTGACGACACTTCTGTTATATATGCCTATCCTGACAAATCAAGGTTTTCACAACTGATGATACAAGAATTCTATAAGCTTGAAAGTTGGTTTCTAGCTAATGGGATATTATTGATTCAGTCTAAGTCACTTTTAATCAACTTACAAAAGAATTAACTTAATAAAAAGTTTTCCTAAGACAATACCACATTACCATGCATTTTTTCTGAATGTACCAAATTTTTATGAATAGCTTTAGACAGTATATTAACCTGGAAAACTCACATTGCAGAAGTTATAAAAAAGTTGAACGAACCATATTTTTCAATTCTTATTCTATCTAGATCAGTAGGTGTCTCCATTCTTATGATGGTGTACTATAGGTATGTTTACCTTATTCTTAGCTATGGAATAATTTTTGGGACAATTCTGACAAATGGAAAAGGTATTAAATTTCAAAAAAAAAATCATTAGAATAATTTTAAAGCTAGAGATTCGTATGAAGATATACTTAAAATTAATAACACATTCTTTATTTTCCTAGCTTTACATCTATAATTTACCAATATTTATGAAACAAAATATCTCTAAATCTTATGATAGTTCAGACCACCACACATATTTCACCAAGCACAATGACAGCCTTACATTTCCCAAACACAAATTTTCTTTTTTTGAATTTTTGCCCCACTACTGTGGTATAAAATTGTATAATAACCTGCCTGAATCCATAAAGTCTGCAATTTCCATCGGTTCATTAAAAGAAATGTCCCGGTATTTAAGTTTTTATGTAAACAATGTTGCTATAAGGTCAATGACCTTTTCTGCTGACTTTTGTACGGTTTATAATATTTTCATGTTGATATTATGAATACCATTGACACTATGTTTATATTTTGCAAAAAGAATAAAGGATGATTTTATTTGATTTCAATGGAAAGTGCAACAAACTGGCATCTGCTTTGTGTTCTGCAGAATTAATTTAAGTAGGCAGTTGTTTTGTGCTCAATTAGTTGTTAAAATGTGTTTTCTGCTTTAATTAAATACTTCAATTACGAGAGCACTTAACTATAAACAATATGTAATGCATAGTAAAACGTAATACATTATTACCACACCAGTATACTTTAAGAATTTAAATAAGTGTTTTGAAAAGTAAGATGTCCAGGGGAGTCTCTTTAGAAGCGAATACTACTTCATATTTGTAGATACAAGATGTTAGGATTTGGTTTCAATTAAGAAAAATATACACAGATGACTCAAAGTCAGAATACACACCTTTACTAACAACTATAAAAACTAATTACGTACCTAGTATTTTCTTTAAGATCGACAGTATATGTTCGTATAATACCGTTTTCGTACAATTTCAGTATGTTTGCCAACTACGTGAGAGTAGGGGAACCATCCCTCTGTAAGGTCGGAGTATATTGCAAGCCGTCAAGTTTATCCCAACGGATCCAAATAGACAAGCATATACACCACCCAGCCAACCTGCTGGCTTGGTACTACCATGACATCATGCTGTTCAAACTCGTTAAGGACATCAAGTTCAACAGTCAAGTCAGACCTGCTTGTATCTTCAGTGAGATAGGCTCATACCGATATGATGGCATGTTCGCCATGTACGAGGACGAGGGTGGTAAATAGTATTTGTATAACTATTGACACTTATGTAGTATTCAACATATTTCTTGTAAATGTATGATTGTTGCGATTGTTATTGCATTATGGGTTTAAATTTTATTAGGTACCTCTTCAACTCAAAAATTACAGATACAATTTATTTTGACAGAGAAAAAAAAGAGGCAGACGACACACGAGATGGAGATTCAGGTGTTTAGTACCGAGATTTGCACCAAGTGGTACACATTTGACCAGCGTCTGGTAGAGCCCTTCGGCCAGGAACAGATTGACCGTGAGATAATGTTCTGTGCCGGACTGCCTCAGAAAGGAAGAGTACCTTGTACCGTAAGTCTTTTACTAGAGTTTCAAACGTTTATGGGTAGGAATATGCGGGGTCTGATCATTGATGATAATTATTTGAGGAATGATGGTAGCTGTTCTTCAATCTTTCTCTGAAATAATGTTTGTTGAAGTTGAATACAAATTGATATTTTACACAGTTTAATAATATACTATAGCCTAATAAGACAGTTTGCAAAATCGTATCAAGACAGAATTAATATCTTAGTATATATTTTACAGATATTTTTTTGTTAACTAATCGTTAACAATTAACGAAGTGAATCACAAAGAGAATTTCGGATTTAATGTAGCATAACACCAAGATGAACACACATTGTATGCACTCGTAAATCAGATAATATACCTATCACAAGACTTTACATAGTTACACTATAGTATATTATCTTTAATAAGTATGATTCTGACTCAAACCCGTTATCAGTGTGTTAGTTGGGTTAGTTAATTAATTTTAGATCCATTTTAGCATTTACTATAATTTTTTAAGTTGCTTGATTACGAGAAAAGATGGTGCTGGACCTTTTTCGACTTTAACTTGAGCCAATGAATACAAACCACTATTGCTTGAGCCTAGGGATTATCTAGAACGACTAAAAGATAATAAACAAACCAAGGACAGATTTTACAAAGATGATATAAAATCGAGCAGTCATAGACACAATGCCTTCAACTCTGTTCCAGTACGACTACGGCGGCCCACTGCAGGTACAGGAGGACACTCCCTACTGTATGTGGCAGGTTTACGGAGTGATGGCGTGGTCTCAGTCTTTCTTCTGCAAGGGAAGTAAACCTCCCATTTTCACGCGCGTGCCTTACTACTTGGACTGGATAGAGGAGGTGATATGGTACGACTTCAACATGATGATAGAGGCGTCATGTTGCTCTGACCAATGCACGGACCCACTGGGTGTGCCTCGAGGGCACGAGGGCCGCTGTGAGGGGTGAGGGTTGATAAACAGGACATTCTTCCAAATTTTTCATACGCAGTTATAATTTGCGTTTAATTTTAATCCATGCATATTTTGGCAAACAAATCGGTTAAGTTCAGGAAAAAAATACACATGTTGGTGGTTTGGTTTACCTAGGCAATGTGTGCACTAATTATATGCAATCATGATTTTTAATTTTTATATTGATGATCAATTATGAATAATTTTGTTATGTATAATACTATTTAAATACGCATACTATTTGTAAGGTGGTTTTCTGATACTTATCTTGCCAAAGACTGTCATTAGCAAGTAATACAATTTCTAAAGAAAACGTTTACTTATGTATAGAATTCAAGTAAAAAACCTACTGTAGAGTTGGCCTGGTAGTAGAGCGCAGCTTCGGTGCCCAATGTCCTGGGTTCAAATCCCCCAATCACCGAAGGATTTTATCCATGTGATAATGCCTCAACCCACTAGGACTAGCCTGAAGTAATGTTTAAAACAGAACCGGGCTAGAACTAGCGTCCTAGGGTGTGAAGGTGGGACATAACAAAATTTATAGTGTCTTATGACACGTATTTTTATTTTAAATATATCTGTTGAAATATATTTACTTATCAACTTAATTGAAAAAAAAATTGTTGGTGAAAGAAAAAAAAATATGCGGTCTTATAATTGAACCCTACGTTGTATACATTTAGTCAAAAGGCCAAAGTAAATCGGCATTAAGCAAATAGACAACGGTGTCGTATATCAAGAGCTACCCACCACCGTGGACTGTTATAACCCTCTCAACGTCTGTTACTGTCGGTTTGACCTATATTTTTTTCCTTTTTATTCTACGGTCATTAACTATGAATTATTCCCTTTTCATCAACTTAAGCTAATATTTTATGTACACTTACTACAATAACAATAAACTATGAAAACACAATTATTTGTTTTAATGACATAAGAACGTTTTCTTTTTGACTTTAGATAATGTTGGAAACTCCATTTGATAGTTGACTGATCGTAGGAAGCGATAGATAAATCAAATAATTTTCCCCCTTTGGATGGGGGAGATAAATGAAATCTCATTGAAGGAATACCTAAATTATATATATATAATTCATCTCCAAACAATTGTCTGGTAGGTAGTTCGTGCCTAAAAGCCGTTTGTTTAAAGAGCTGATAAAAGAACTTTCATGTTATTATAAATTACAGATCCCTGAATGTTGTACAGTGGGAGGCCGTGCTCTTGCATACATTACTTGGTTTGGATCTTTCACGATATCCTCTCCATATGTAAACAGACACCACTGCTTCCATGGTATTGACATGGTTAAGCAAATCCTATTACAAATTTTTTGCTAATGCAAATTTCCTGTAAATTAAACCTAAAGGCAATTTTAAAGTTCAATTTTGTAACAGCGCAGGAATCTGTAATCTTGCTGAGGTGTGTCATACCTTTGTGAATATATTTTTTTTAATAGTGCAATTATTTATTTTTCACGCTTTCTTAAGTTAGCATTATTTGGTTATATTATTTACATACTCACGTAATTGGTTAGAAAAGTGTTTAAGTTACATCGTTAATTAACGAATTTTATCTTTACTATAACAGAAAGCTAAAAAAATACGTCTAATAACACATAAAATATATGTTCACCAATATACTGTTACTCATAAGACGTTAAATACATAATAATATGGTAAATGACAATCGGTTTGGATTAGACACTTCAAACATCATCAGACCTAGGCCTAGTAGTCAAACACACATTTGTCTGTTTTTTTTTTACTTTCTGTAAATTTATTAACACATACTATGCTAATCAAGAAGTCATTTACATTTATTCTTAAAATACTAATTCATAATATTCTGTTAGTTTTGTCAACGTTAAGAAGTACCTATAAATAATTTTGATAGTAATATGTATTAAAAGGTTCTTGTTTTTCTCTCTTAGATAAAGTAAAACTTATAACATTTAAATAAACCCTGGACTATGTCTGATTGCTGACCGGTAAACTGTATCGACATTTATTGCCTTTGTTCTTTGGCATTTCTATTTCGTTAAACACTGATGTAGAGTAAAACCACGGGAAACGTTTGAAGCCCGACATTTCACCTGTCGAACGGGAATTGGTAGAGTTTTTATGAAGTTCCTCGGTGTTGCTGTTATATTGTGTTTTCAATCAAACTGGACAAGCACACTTCACACTAAATATGATAGCAACCGGCTCATAATCCACAACAATAAAATAGCCTAATCGTAAATCTACTAACTAAGTACTATTTGAAAACTGTATTTTTTGACATTAACTAACTTTAGCTTGTTTAAATTTAGTCATAACGATTTGCATATAAGTTGCCTAATTACTATACACTACACTCTGGATAATAATACTTGTTATACTTCACGCTTTTACAAATTTACTTTTCTAAATTATCGCCATTTTCGTAGAGGGGGATAGGATTACAGAGAGAGGTATCCCCACCTAATATACCCAAATTTTCTCTTCACATATAAATTAACTGCATGTGAAAATTATGTTTACGCACTACATTGCCATAGATTATTGCTGAAATATCAAAATCAAACTTTAAGGATAGAAGTTTGCACTCTAAACGATACGCCTGTCGTCCCAAAAGGCAGACTTTATCATTTCATATGAAACCTTTTAGAATTAAAATAATAACACTGTTTAGACATTCATGGACTTTTAAAAGAAATATATAACATGAGTTTTAAATCACAAAGTCTACTCTCATTGCAAACCTTAATATTTTACAATACGTTTTAATAGCTATACACACGTATTATATCGGGTTCAATCATCACTTCTAGTTGCGAGATCTAAAAAAGATCTATAAACTGCTAAAAATTGCTCTGATAATACAATCAAATATAATGTGCTTTTATACCCATTCAAGATCTGAAGTGTCAGTTTGGCATGTGGCCAAAGCTTTGACTACAGTGGGACCCTCACAGTCTTTACTATTACACCACATTGCAGTGATAACAGGTAAGGAGTTGAAAATCACGCTAAATATAATTTAGCAACTAAGGATTGTAAAATTACAGAAATCTGCCTGTAACACATAAATTGTAGCTAAGAGAGTTATGGTTTCTTTAAAATGTTTAATAATATACTTGTATTATAGCTGGTAGTTTATAAAGAGGGTTCAAAGAAGTAAGTTGAAATTAGGTCCGTGAAGTTAGCCCCCCCCATAAAAGCACTAACAATTAAACTAGTATTAATGGTTAGTGCTTCGTTAGTGCTGGTTAGTGCTTCAACTCCCATCGTTAGTGCTCTTACGGTTCAGGAGCTATAACCGAAAAACTGTGGGGGGGGCCAACTTCACGGAAGTTAGCCCCCCCCCAGTAGTAATATGTGAGCACTAACTTTTAAAACTGTACCAACGGTTAGTGCTTCGTTAGTGCTGGTTAGTGCTTCAACTCCCGTCGTTAGTGCTCTTACGGTTCAGGAGCTATAACCGAAAAACTGTGGGGGGGGCCAACTTCACGGAAGTTGGCCCCCCCCATAAAAGCACTAACAATTAAACTAGTATTAATGGTTAGTGCTTCGTTAGTGCTGGTTAGTGCTTCAACTCCCATCGTTGGTGCTCTTACGGTTCAGGAGCTATAACCGAAAAACTGTGGGGGGGGGCAACTTCACGGAAGTTAGCCCCCCCCCAGTAGTAATATGAGAGCACTAACTTTTAAAACTGTACCAACGGTTAGTGCTTCGTTAGTGCTGGTTAGTGCTTCAACTCCCATCGTTAGTGCTCTTACGGTTCAGGAGCTATAACCAAAAAACTGTGGGGGGGCCAACTTCACGGAAGTTAGCCCCCCTCCCCAGTAGTAATATGTTTTAGGTAACTTACTTACTTACTACTTACTTACTAAAATGTACTTACTTAAGTTACATTTTAGGTAACTTAAAACAGTTACCTACGCACTTGTAGCCACCACTTTGTCTTTCCTCCAAGAGAGAAGTGAAAGATCTTACGACCAAGCAAGTGCTGCGATCTGTGTGGAGTCAAGGGAACTAACTCAAAATGTTCCTAGAATCTCCACTGCAGCAGTAGTGTTCTATATACTGTAGGCGACATTACGTCTGAAGCTTCTATAACCAGTCATTTTCACGATTGTATTTTTTCGTGTGTTTTACATTGAAGTTTTGATGATCTAGGTAAGTCAAGTATGTTAATCACTATGTAGTTAAATCAAGGTCCTAGCCTAACATAGTTGTATGTCTATAGATTTAGAGCGTTTAATATTTTTTTCGTTAGGCCTATGCATAAATTGTACCTTGACTGTCTCAATTGTTATCATTTGAACCACAGTAATTGTTACGTCTGAACTATGTCGGTATCTTCTTTTCGATTTGTCATGTAGCCGAATTCACAATACGGTCATATATTTAACTCCACGCCACGGCATTTGAAGTGGAAAAACTCTTGCGTCTTGGCAGACAGTCAGTCAGTGGCGCCGGGCGCCGTTTGGTTTGGAATCAGTACTGTCGCCGGCGACACACACTCACTTATTGCCTACACACAGTGGTGGTCCCATGGTTTCATTTTGTTGGGATATTATCACCGGGGAGGGGGGGGGGTGTGGATGAAAATGTCCTCTAGAAAAAAAGGGTGGTCAAGGGCTGAAAATGTAAAATTGAAAGTTTAAAGACGTACTTTATAGTATTTTAGCTCTACAATATATTCTAGCTAATAGTATTTATGTTAGATAATTAAATATAAAATATGTCGGAGGGGATTTTTTTCTCCCACCCCCCTCCCATTGGTGCACCACTGCCTACACGTGAGATGAATCAGGTTAGGACTAATTCTAAATTAATTATATACTGGTTGTCCGGGAACTCTCTACCAACATTTTAGGGCATTTTTAATGAGTAATAAACATATCAATATCACATTTAAATCGTCAGGATGTCCTCAGCTACTCACAAAGCCACCATTTTTTTGTTCGTTTATTCATATTTTTTAAGAATGGTTAAACATACGAAATTGAAACCTTGCACAAACATTTATGACCACAAGACAAAGCAACCAAAAGATAATTACAATTTTTAAATTTCATAAAACAAAATGG